ATTTTTATCCACTTAAAAAAAGTGCGCTAACAAAGCTTATCGAAAATCGTTGTCATCAAGCGGTTTTGAAAAGATGAAAATTGCTCAGAAATTAAAGCAGTATAAAGTGGTCTATGCCGAAGTTTAAAAACGCCATAACAACCTCAAAACGACACCTGGTACGTGGCTTCATGCATCCCTTTCGTCAGCATTGTCAATCTTGGAATTTACTCCTACGTTTCTCCGGTCGTAACTATCACCCTGGTGCTCATTCTCGATCCGTCTACACCCTGAAATACTCCAGAGCACGACCAAAACGACATCTGGTCGTGATGCAAGCCGTCGACCACCGTAGGCTTCTTCCCACTTCCAAGTGAAGCCATGACGAAATCGTATACTAGACGCCCGAGAGGGGTCTAGTATCTCATCTGAAGCAAGGCGGACCTTTGCATCATCCAGTTTCTACCAGATTTTATTGTAGAAATTCTAAGGTTAGCTTCTTAAATTTTAGATTTTTTAAACTTTATTTTATTGAGGAGAAGCTTTTGTTAATATCCACACACGAGGATTGGATTTGTAGAAGGTTTACAAGCTTTTTTATTTTTTTAGTTTTTCTAAGGCTTTAAAAGTCAGTAAACTGTCGCTTTTACCGGTGTAAAACCGTTGTTTTTGGGGCTGTCTCGCGCCGGAAGCGTGAAGCTTGTTCCCGCCAGCTGGCTGCATGCAATGCATGGCCCCCTCTTTTCCTTTTCTTTTTCTTTCTTTATGGGGTCCCGCGCACTCGCCCCTTCAGCCACATCATCGATCGCTCACCCCCGTCCCATTCCACATACCCGCCAGGAAAAGCTTATCCTGCGCTCCCGGATCGTTTTTTGAAGTTTAGGTTGTCTCGAGCTCAATTTTACGGATAGTTTTACCGGAAACCGACCCTGATTTGTGTTTTGTTTCCTAGAAAAGGGTTTCTTTTTGAATAAAGCCTTGATCCTTGCCCCCAAACACCTGCAAAAAGACACCTGCAACTTCTATGGAAGCTCTAAAAAGTTATAATAAGGATAAAATGTTTTTAGAACACTTTCTAGACTTCCCTTTTTCTATTTGACCTCCAGTTTTGCACAGGCCGCTCGACGTGTCCGATTTCGCCGGGCAAGTGTCCCCGCAGAAAAGCATGGAAAAGCATTCCCTTCAAAATCGATACCAACCCAGGCGCATGCTTTGGTTTTTGTTTTCAAAATTTAGAAAATGTATAAATATGGCTATAAAAGTTTTAATTGACAGAATAGAGTAGATCTTGATTTTTGGGCATAATTTGGCTTGCTCATTTCTCTATGTTTTATCGATTTTCTATATCTATATATTTTCTATGCATATATTTATGTTTGTTTTTCTCTTTTAGGTTATGAACACAAATGCAAAGAAGGCTGCAACACCGATGCTCGAGCGTCTCCGTGCTCTACACCTCCGCGGCAGCGTCGACATCCAATCCGGCGGCAAGGTCGGTTTTCTTGCTTTTAAAAATTAAGGCTGGTAAGCAGGGACGTAGCGTAATACCGGCCCCGGGGGCCCGGGGCCCGAAAATTTCATAAGGGGGGACCCTTATGATTTTTATTTTCTCAAAAATTTTGCTGCCTGCGGCGCTATTTTTGCACGTTTTTACGGCTATTTGTAGAGCTATGTAACTCTTTTTCCAAAAATTTTTGCCTGCGGCGCTGTTTTTCCGGCAACGTTTTGAGTTTTTTGGAAAAATTTTTCCGGGGCCCCCCCCCGAAATTTTTTTCTGGCTACGCCCCTGCTGGTAAGTATAAATCATTGGTCTTTACGGCCCTGCCCTGGGGGTTATTTTTGAACGATTCAAGCTTTTCCATTGTCATGTCCAAGAAAGCGGCTTCCTCATCCTATCCATCCATGCATATGGTCCGATCAGCCGCTGAAAGCATGCCTCCGGCCATTTTACCGACCAAAACATTCGCCACCCACCTGTTTTTGTTCGCCAATAATGGCCGGGTGTTGAAAGCGGACGGGAATTTCGCAGAGGTGGTGAGGTTGTATAGCTCGCGGTACTGGACTATTAGCAGGGGTGTATTAATCTAGCTTTCTACTCGATTTTTACTTGTAGGAAGTTCATACGAAAATTAGAAAAAACTTTTGCTAAAAATCTGTGAATTGGTTTGTAGCTTTTCTAAAAGTGTTTTTATAACTTTTTGATAATCATAAAAACCCGAAAAAAAAACTTCAGAAATAAACTGAAATACGCCAGAATTTTTACTAGATCTGATTTTCTTTGCTAGATCTTGGTCGCTTGCGTCCGGCCTACATTTTTTACATTGATAACGTGAGGCGAAGCTCTTCCCTCCCCGGCTAACAGTCCAGTACCTCAACACCGCGAACTGATGACACCGTCCCTTTAATCCAAAACATCAAGCCTCGTGACCAGTCCAGAAGTCATATGGTCTCTATCATCTCACACTGTCATCAGGATCAAACGGGTTTCCCCTCCTCCTCCCCAACCTCGATTCCATCAACCCTCCTCCATTCAAAACATCGGTGCAGAGCAAAGGGGGGCGTTAATTGTTAGCGGGTTTGCAAAGATTTTGTTTTCATTCTCTCGACTCCGCCCCCCGGCCGGGATGGCCTTTAAAGAACGGGCCACGTGCCTCATAAATCACACACGGGTGCGCAGATAAGGCACCTCCATTGCCCTTTTGCCATCATTTATGACGCGGGTTCCCATCTGATAGTTGTTGCTGGTTGGGTAGTATAGGCTAACTGGGTTCTCACAAGTACGTTTGTGCCTATATTCCAGTTATTTTTTTAGCTGTTTAGTGTGGCGAAACAAACGCTCCCTTTAGCTGCCGATAGCATTATCCGATTTTTATGATTTTCGTAGATTTCAAAAATCTACCTAAAATGTATATTATGCCAGTAAGCATAGCATAATTTTTATTATATTAATAACCAGATCAATAGATTTCTGGCTAAATTTTTCTTTGTTTTTTTAAATTTCGGGGTAAAGCCTGTATGGAAAAATTTAGCTTTCGTCGAATGGATTTGATTTATAAAGGCACTTCTCTTCTTCCAAATTTAGGTTTTTGATTCATGAATCTAAAGCCTCGAACCCTCAAGATCACAAGAAACCCCTGATCCTCCGGGTAAAATGCCCTTTTGTTGATTTGCTGACTACATAGTACGGGATTTGGTGATATTTTCCCTCGGGGGCACAGCGGAATGAATTTGGGTGTTGGGTCGCTAGAAATTTTGTATTTTTGACAACTTTAGGTTTCTTTTAACGAAGTAGCCTACGACCGGGTTTTTGGATTTGTTCAGCCCGGTTCCACGCAAGTAGAGATATTTTCGACGCTAATTATCAGCTTTATGAGTTTAGTGTTCTGAAAAGCCTTCAGCTCTTACGCGGCGTTCTTTCATCGCTATGAAGCTATTTATGTGCTTGCGAAGACCACATTCCTTAGCCATCCACATGTGACGGCTCAAATGGCTGTGTGGAACCATGCGCTGCAGTGGTCGCTTACCACTATCTATAGATCTAGCTTGAACGAAAAGGTCTAAATGGCTTAGTCTTTCGTACCGGGTTGTTAGCGGGGGGATAAGCAACTAATTTTGCCCTTTCGCCCGCTAGTTCTGGTTGTTGTCAAAAATCTATGAAAATCGTCACAAAATTTTCTTGATTTTCTTGCGTTTTCTTGCATTTTTGCATTTTTCTTGCATTCTTGCATTTATCTTGCAACATTTTTATGACTTTTTGGCTTGAAAACCCACTATAAAGACTAAAATCGCAAATAATTTGCTAGGTAATTTCTTTTTCGTCCTTATCAAAACTTTTGAAATTTTTTGGCTCTTTGTCTTTATGGTTTTAAGGCTTTCGAGTATTCAAAAAAAAAACTGCTAAAAACGCTGTAATGCGCTGAAAAAATGACTGGGTTTAAGCCGGAGACCCCTCGCTAATCGTCCTATGCCCAATCTTTTCGGAACAGCCCGAAAATCTGCTACCTTGATTCGTTAAACCCTTTAGCCAAAAAACCCACTTTTGCAGACTCTGCGCGCTCGCAATAATTCGACATTGCGGCCCGATTACAGATTAACTTGGGGGGTTAGGAGCCCCCGGTGACGTCTCCACGACGCTACTCCCTCCCGAACACTGTCCACCCCCTAATTTTCATCCATTTTTTCGATAAGCTACCCTCGTTGAACAAACTGGCGGCGTCATATTTATCTTTTTGCTCGGCAAACATCCGTTCCCCTTTCCATTCCTTTCGCCCTCATCTCCCCCTCCATTTCTGCTAATGGGTGAGGGGGTTCTTGGCTGAACTTGGGGGTGGGCGGTATGAGCCATTCTTTAGCCCTGTGACGCCAGGCTATTTACGGGAACGAGGGTCGAAACGGTGGTCTTGCCGTCGCTAATTTTGGACTGTGTCTCGTGATTCGTTGAACATGTGTCTAATAGCGTGTCCATTGTGAAGGGGAAAGAGTCTTTCAGCTTTATTTCGTTATTTTTGACTATAAATGGCTATTTAGAATTATTTTTATTGACAATTAAACTTTGTGACCATACCACCTTCATTTGATTCCGGTACTGGTTCATTATCAGGGGGGGGCAACAAAAATTTTTCTATTCCGATAGACGCTGAACAATAATATATCAACCTTGAATGGCATTTCACGCCTTTTTGCCTGATATTTAGCAAAATTGATAGTTGATAAACAAAGTGGCTACAAAGTTATGATAATTTTCGAATAAACTTTGATAAATATTCGCTTTTTAACTGCTAAAAATGTTTTGCAATTTTGTTAGTAACCGAAAACGACTAAACACGCTATAAAAATGGTCGCTGTTTATTGCCATGGGTGGTTAGGCTGAATGAAAGAAACGTCGAAACTTTTTATATACAGTAGAATGACCGCTTTTTCTATTATTATTTTTCAAATTTGGCTATAAAATTATTTTCTAAAAGCCCTCCCTTCCGTTCGAAACCCTTTTTCCAACTGAGCGCCTGTTTGCAGACGCTACAATGGTATTTCTGTGTGAGGGCAACACTCGATCCGAGTGCCTTCGGCTAGAAAACCCGCTGAATCGCACAAAAAACCCACATCGCTGGCCCCTGACCACCCGTGAAAAGGTATCCAAAGTAAATACACCACGGCTAATGCCCCAATTCCAGATTGATGACGTGACACGATGCCTGGTTGTGCCGGATGCGAAGCTGAAGGATATGATGGAACGGTTGAATGCCGCGTTTGACAAGGGATTGGCTGCCGATACAGGTGAAATTAGTTGTGAAATGTGGATGCTAGTTTGGTTATTTTGCATTATCGGGGGGGACGCATTTTTTCTATAATTCCAGGAAAGCTTAGTAAGGTGATTTTGTTTTTAAAGTGTTTTTGTGAAATTTAACGCAATTACAGGCGGAAATTGCCTTAAACAACTTAAAAATCATAAAATTTTTGCCGAAAATCTATATTTTTGTCATTTTCATTGTCATGTCCATGGTTTTTATGCCTTTACGTTTTTTACTTTTATTTCTATAGTAATTACGTCGTTTTTAGCTGCTAGCGCCTCCGTACGAATGCTACCTTCTTACGTGCGCTCCGTCCCCAACGGCACTGAGGAGGGCGACTTCTTGGCGTTGGATCTGGGAGGCACCAATTTCCGGTGAGATCTAGTTGTTTTTGACAGCTACGTACAGTTCCTATAAGCCCTTCAAGAAAAGAAATTGTAATTTCTGCTTGCAGCGTCCTCCTAATCCGGATCCACAACCGTCAGGCCGAGATGAAAAGCAAAATCTTCCGCGTTCCGGATCTCGTGATGAAAGGGACAGGAGATGGGGTAATCTTAAAGCAATAAATAAAAGTTTACGATTTTCAGTTGTTCGACCACATCGCCGCCTGCATGGCGCAGTTCATGGAGGAGCACGGGTTGAAGGGATCAGCCCGCTGCCTCCCCCTTGGCTTCACCTTCTCCTTCCCCTGTAAGCAGGAGGGGCTCACCCGAGCCAGGCTTATAAATTGGACCAAGGTAGTTTTAGCGGCCTAGTTGTATCTGTTTTTCAGGGCTTCAACGCTACGGGCGTAGAAAATGAAGATGTCGTCGATTTACTGAGGAGTGCCTGCCAACGCCGAGGGGTAAGTTTCATTTTTTTTACGTTAATTAGCGGGGGGAGGACGGCGAAGTTTTCCTATGTTGCAGACGTCCCTGGATGGGCCTATAATGCAATATAAGTGATTTAGTAGCATTTTAAGCCCTTTTTCGACATAAAGTTGATAAAATTACAAACATTTTCGAGAAATTTTTATCTTTTTGGTAAAAAATTCATAAAAATGGTTCAAAATTCCGCCTTTTGGGCTCTCTAAAACGACTTTACCGCTTTTTAGTCATTTTAAGCTGCTAAATGGACGTTTTTTCAGGACATTGACATCGATGTCGTCGCCATCCTCAACGACACTACCGGAACACTCATGGCTTGTGCTTTTTTGGAAAATTCTTGCCAAGTATGGCCACCTTTTTAGGGCACTTTATAAAATCTCTTTCAAGGTGGGAATCATCGTGGGCACGGGCACCAACGCGTGCTACATGGAAAAGCTGTCCCGGTGCTGCAAGCTCGAAGGGGAAATGGAATTGAATGATGATGAGGTAAATTTGGTGCTCAATTCCTAATTTTTTGAATAGATGTGCGTAAACACGGAATGGGGCGCTTTCGGAGATCACGGCGAGATGCAGACCATCCGCACCGAATTCGACGACGAGGTCGACCAGGGCAGCATCAACCCCGGCAGGCAATTGTGGGTTTTTGTAGATTTTTGGTGCTTTGGGATTATCGGGAGGCTTTAAACTTTTTGCAGATGATTAGAATCTATATTAGAAAAATTTAACCCTATTGGAAAAGTTGCCCCCCTCCCCGATAATGTGAAAGCGCTTTTTATTTTGTATATTTAAGTAATAAAATATTGACGCTTTTTTATCATCATTGATCTTTTCAGATTCGAGAAAATGATCTCCGGCATGTACCTTGGCGAAGTGGTGCGCGTTGTGCTGGCTCGCCTTGCCCGCGAAGGTCTTCTCTTTGGCGGCGACACGGCGGCCATCTCCAAGAAGGGCGCCTTCCCCACAAAATATATCTCTGAGATTGAAAGGTATGGTCTTTTTACGATTTCGGGAAATATCCACTTACAGCGAGTTGATGGAGGATGACGAGCGGACCTTCTCGAAGACGTTGCAAATCCTGGAGGACATGGGGATTGAAGGAGTGTCGCAGTTGGATTGTATTCACGTGGCGACCGTTTGCACGATGGTGTCGACAAGGTCGGTTGCTTGCTCATAGCCTGAATTCTTGTTTTGCAGAGCCGCCTACCTCACGGCGGCGGGAATTGCCACAATTCTGAACCGAATGCGGAAACGCTACGTGACGGTTGGGGTCGATGGGAGTGTCTTCAGATTTCACCCGACCTTCCCGAAATTGCTTGATGAGAAAATTGACCAGCTGATTGATGGAGATCTAGAGGTAAATAGATTTGATTTGGTTTTATCTTTTTCTTTTTCTCGATTCATCTCTCTAGCTCTCGTTTCTAATATCTTTTTTAGTATCAACTCATGCTCTCCGAAGATGGTTCTGGCAGAGGGGCTGCCCTCGTTGCTGCCGTCGCCACACGTATGAAGAATGAACGAAGATGAGCCACATAACTTCTCTTAATAGTGCATAATACCCCTAGCCTTTTTTGGAATTTCGGCGTGTGCCTTTCTGTGATTTTAGACTGCCCCCTCTCTCATCCCCCGTCTCACCCGACTTGCTAGCCCATTAGCTAGTAGATTATGTATATTTATTATTATTATTACAATTATTATTGCTGCAAAACAGAAAATGGGTGGGATTATTTGTGTGTGTCATCTTGGGTAGTCAGCGAACACCGTGTCCTTAGCCCCTAGTTTTCGAGATTTTCTTGCTTTTCTGTGTGCCATCCATTGCATTCTTCCTGTGTCATTTTATTAGTCACGCATTTGTCTTCCTACTATCTCTTTTCCTCACTAATCCACTAATGTATTCTCTCTCCCTCTCTCTCTCTCTCTCTCTCTCTCTCTCTCGTTTTCCTTTTAGAGTATGTTCAAATTGGGTTGTATTTTTGTAGCGCGCAATGGCCTTGTGAATTCTAGATTGCCGAATAAAGAATTTGATGACTTCTGCATAGATTTTAGGCGGCAAAGCTCTGGCCCGGGCGCCGGTAGAATTGATGTCCACTACGGTTTTCGTGAAATTTGTAGGAGCGATCCCTGAAATTTTCGATTTCATGGGAGTTCAGGAGGTTCGAAGCCGTGGGTCTTACCGTTTGGTCAGAATCTTGTCGACCGGACAAATGTCGACATATTTTTTCGTGAAGTCGGATCTGTAAATGATGGTAAAAGTGATTTCAAATGTTTTTAGCTCGTTATTCACACGAAATATAGTTGACTTTTACTAAGATGCTATTCAAATAAAAAGCGATTTTTTTCGTCGACTTTTAGCACCTTCAAATCTTTTAAGATAATTTTCACTTGAAGTATAGTTAGCTTTTATTAAAAACCCGGTTCTTTAGGATTTCCGGGGAAAGTATTTCCGGGGAAACCAAATTTTTTCCTGTTTTTCCCGGTTGACCTAGTAATCAAATATAAAGTGTTTTCACATTGTTTTTAGTAAATTTTAACTATATTTAAAGTAGAAAAACCTTTCAAAAAAGTTAGAAAAATGTTTGAAAAAGTCGAAAATTGGTCATTTTGGGTCTTTCCCCCCCCCCGCTAATCCTAAAGGTTCTATAGGATTTTTCGACCTAAAATTAAATTTTTTAATTAAAATGTGGGTAGTTTTTATGCTCAGGAATAGTTAAAAACCATTTAGAAACGCATGCGCTATTTAGAAAAAAATTTAGGCTTGGGCCGAAAAATTTGGTTTCCCCGGAAATACTTTCCCCCGGAAATCCTAAAGAACCAAAAACCCTATTAAAATCCTGATTATTACGATACTCGACATTTCTACACTTATACAAACCGACCTCATCGTCGTGGTCCCGTCGAAAGGGCCCATCGAAGCCATTTGATTGGTAAAAGGCCGGGCGGGCATCGATCGAGAGGCCTGAAACATTTGATTTTTAATAAAATAAATTCGAACTTTTTTAAAAAACCCAAAATAACCCCGATCAGCCAGTAGCCTGCCATTTACAACCACCACAACACTCCAACCCACGAATTTCTTGAAATAATCGGCCTGGTGGGTGGTGATCCCGTCGAATTCTCCGCTTTGTAGACCATTCTCGACGGGGCGCATAGCCTGCGCCTTGTCACCCTGGTCCATTTAGATAACTTTGATCGCGAAAAGTACTTTTTTCTTAATGTAGTCAGCCTGGTGTGTGGTGATTCCATCAAAATCGCCGGATTGGACGACGTGCCCTTCTGGCTTTACAGCTTTTTCACGTTGCGCCTAATTACATCATCTGACTTTCAGGAAAAGAGCACCTTTTTCTGGAAAAAGTCGGCTTGATGCGTCGTGATCCCATCAAAATCACCGGTTTGCAGGCCATTCTCGATCGGCCGGATGGCTTGCGCTTTGTCGCCCTACACAACGTAACAATACGCAAAGTCAGGCGGCTTACCTTTTTCCTAATAAAGTCGGCTTGATGCGTTGTCACGCCGTCAAAGTCCCCAGATTGCACGACGTGTCCTTCCGGCTTTACCGCTTTTTCTCGTTGCGCCTAATTAAATCCTCTGACTTTCCAGAAAAGCACACCTTTTTCTGGAAAAAGTCGGCTTGGTGGGTAGTGATTCCATCAAAGTCACCGGACTGTAGTCCATTTTCGACCGGTCGAATAGCTTGTGCTTTGTCACCCTGCATAGACTTGTTCTTGTTACGCGTTTCCGTTCTTACTCTTTTCTTGATGAAGTCGGCTTGGTGGGTCGTTACACCATCAAAATCGCCGGATTGGACGACATGTCCTCCCGGTTTCACAGCTTTTTCTCTTTTTGCCTGATCGAGTTTCGGATGGCAAACGGCAAAAACACCTTTTTCTGGAAATAATCAGCCTGATGCGTCGTTATCCCATCGAAATCGCCAGTTTGAAGCCCGTTTTCCACCGGCCGGATCGCTTGAGCCTTGTCGCCCTATATATATTTGGTGTTGCTTACTCTTTCTATACCTACCCTTTTCTTGATGAAGTCAGCTTTGTGGGTTGTGACCCCGTCAAAGTCGCCAGATTGCACGACATGGCCTTCCGGTTTTACAGCTTTTTCTCGTTTAGTCTAATCGATTTTGCCATACAAAAAATGTTGGGCTTCTGTACCTTTTTCTGGAAGTAGTCGGCTTGATGAGTTGTGATGCCATCAAAATCCCCAGCTTGCAGTCCATTTTCGATCGGGCGTATTGCTTGTGCTTTGCCACCCTGGACTTAGGTTTATTTTACACCTCACTCCTGACCTTTTTCTTGACGTAGTCAGCCTGTTGGGTCGTCACACCATCAAAATCTCCCGATTGTACGACATGCCCTTCCGGTTTTACCGCTTTTTCGCGTTTTGCCTGATCGAGTTTAGGATATTTAGCATCGAAAACACTTTTTTCTGGAAGTAATCAGCCTGGTGAGTGGTGATGCCGTCGAAATCTCCCGTTTGAAGCCCGTTTTCGACCGGTCGAATGGCTTGCGCTTTGTTGCCCTGGATTTGGCTTACTTCTCTCATCTCTCCTGACCTTTTTCTTGACGTAGTCGGCCTTTTGGGTCGTCACGCCATCAAAATCTCCCGATTGAACGACGTGTCCTTCCGGCTTCACAGCTCGCTCACGTTGGGCCTAGGCTTATAATCCTTGCAGTTCTCGAAAGTAGCACCTTCTTCTGAAAGTAGTCAGCTTGATGGGTGGTGACGCCGTCAAAATCTCCAGATTGAAGCATTGTTTCCATTGGTCGAATCGGTTGCGCCTTCGTGGCCTATACGGGCATGTTGTATTGATTTTATTCCGGGGCCCACCCGCTTTCGATCGAAGTCGGCTTGATGGGTGGTGACGCCGTCAAAGTCGCCAGTTTGGAGCAGTGCTTCTTCAGGCTTTAGTAGACGCGTACGGTCGGCCTGCGCAAGCAGTCGTTTGGAAGTTTGGGTTTTTGTGGTAGTTGAAAATATTTTTGGGAGTTTTCATCCGCTGTTTAGACAAAAGTACACGTTTCAAACCAAACCAAAAAAAAATTAAATTCCACGCCGAAAGCCCCAGGGAAACGGGGGTTCTGTTCTATTTCGCGGGGGGGGACAAAACTGTGCGGGGGGGAAAATATGCTTCGCGGAATCTTAGTTTTTCGCTATTTTCTCGGAATTTTTGCAACGCCATTCGATAGAGCATCCAAAAATATACTAAGAGTTTTTGTTTTAGCTAAAAATATTATAATATAAAAAAGTTATAGCAAAAACAAAAAAAAACTATTGAAACTGGTTCCGGAATGCTAGTTTTTGGCATTTTCGCCATTTTTTCGATATTTTGAACCTGTCATTCGATAGAGCATCAAAAAATATACTAAGAGTTTTAATTTCATCCAAAAATATTGTTTTATAAAATAGTTATAGCAAAAACAAGGTTTATTCGGTGTTTCCACATGGGATCGTGGAGTCGAAAGCTAGTTTTTCGACATTTTCGATAATTTTCAAAAATTTCTTTAATGCCATTCGATAGAACGTCAAAAAATATACTAAGAGTTTTCATTACAACTCAAAATAGCATCATGTAAAAGAGTTATAACAAAACGGAGAAAATTTTCCCCCCCGCACAGTTTTTTCCCCCCCGCGAAATAGAACAGAACCGAAACGGGTACTGGATTGTTAACGGGGGGGGGGGCGGGGTTAACTTTTATCGGGGCCCTAACGTTGTCATTCGTCAATTATGAAATTCGAAAAGTATGGATTTTTGGCCGAGAATGTTGGAAAATGATAAAAATTTTGTAACATTTTTATTTCTTAAAAATTTCTTAGCTATTCTATAGTGGACAATAACTGCTAAAAATAAAAAAAAACCCATGAGAGGTGCTTGCTAGACAGATATAGCTTTCCCATTAACAGTCCAGTACCGGGAAAATTACCAACTACACTGCACAACGATTGACGCGAACTTAGCTACCCTTTTCCGGTCGTAATCGGCTTGATGAGTTGTTTGCCCCTCGAAATCGCCTCCATTCCTGGCAATCGTCTTCGGGCGCAGCGCCCTCGATCGTTCACCCTAAACAGTGGATAAAAGCAGGCATGGCAAATTCGGTCGGCCCGGCCGATCGGCCGGGCCGAAAGCCGACTGAATCGGCCACTTCCGGGCCGATTTTCATATGCTAATTTTTTCGGCCCGGCCGATCGGCTCGGCCGACTTTTGGGGGAATCGGCCGGGCCGATTCGGCCCGGCCGACCATTTATGTCAAAATTAAAAAAAAAACCCGTAAAGCAGTGGGTCCACAAGTAGATGACCACCGACCTCGACCACCAGTTTTCGCCTTTAGAAGCCAATCAGCCCGCTATTCATTTGAAGGTTTTTTGTTAACATTCCTTCAAGGTTTTTCAGGCCTACGAACGATTTCGTGACGTTTTACTGCAAGGGCCTAAGCAGCCTGTTCAAGGCAGCACAACAGCTGCCACATGGGAATCAAATGGAGCTTTTCGCGTTCTTTCCAATGAAATCCTTGACTGTCTAGAATACTCAACTTCACATGGGATATGATGATCTGGTTCTTTAGGATTCGCGGGGGGGGGGGAGTATTCCCGGGGGGGAAACCAAATTTTTTTCGGCACAGGCCTAGGTTTTTTATAAATTGCGGATGCGTTTCTAAATTGTTTTTAACTATTCCTGAGCATAAAAACTAAACACATTTTAACCAAAAAAAATTAAAAAATAAAAATTAGGTCAAACAATCCTATAAAACCTTTAGGATTCGGGGGGGGAAAGACCCAAAATGACCAAATTTTCGACTTTTTAAACATTTTTCTAAAATTTTCTGAAAGTTATTCTGCTTTAAATATAGTTAAAACTTACTAAAAACAATTCGAAAACACTTTATATTTGATTACTAGGTCAACCGGGACCACCAGGAAAAAAATTGGTCCCCCCCGAGAATCCTAAAGAACCGATGATCTTAGTGTAGCGTCAAATTCGGTTAACTGTTCGAACGAACTGTTCGAAGATGCTGGTCATCTACTTGTCGTTCCACTCTTTGAGAGGTTAGCTGACTTGATCTATTAATAATATGGTGATCATTTCACCTCAAAAATTACCTTGATCTTCTTGACTAATCACCCCAAACCTAATTGATTTGGAGGTAATCGGCAAAAGCGCCAAAGCGAACACATAATCTTGCGCAATTAACACTGTGTTATATGAGGAAGTCGGATGTGTCGGCCCTCACGCGGCCGATCGGCCGGGCCGACTGAAGCCGAAAAAATCGGCCCTAACAGGGCCGATTCCGGAAATTGTCGGCCGAGCCGAATTCTAAGAGGCCGACATTCAAATTTCGGCCGAAAAAAGCCGATCGGCCGGGCCGATTGCCATGCCTGGATAAAAGCAACCCTACACGTCGCACCTGCTTACGGTAGTAGTCATTCTGATGGGTTGTCAGCCCGTCAAAGTCCCCGGTTTGCCGGGCGTTCGTCTGCGGGCGGACGGCTTTGGATCTGGCTGCCTGAAAATAGCGTAGCAATTTTAAAGGGACGTACTAGTCCCCCACCCCCGCTAACCAACCAGAACCGAATTCGTACTTGTTTCTTAATGTAGTCCGCCTGATTAGTAGTCGTGCCATCAAATTCCCCGCTTTGCACGACATTTTCGGCTGGTCGTATCCCACGCGCGCGGGCGGCCTAAATATCATAAAATGTACTTTAATAGATAGAATACCTGCTTCCGGTAGTAATCAGCCTGATGCGTGGTGACGCCGTCGAAATCCCCGGATTGGCCGACGGCTTCTTGCGGGCGGATAGCACGAGCGCGTTGCGCCTGGAATAACGAGGTAAAAATGTTAGAAATAAAAACGAAATAACAAGGCTTAGACTACGTTACCTGTTTTCTCGTATAATCAGCTTGCTGTGTTGTTTCCCCTTCGAAATCTCCCTTGTACACCTCGTCGACATGCCCACAGTGGTGTTGTCTGTAAAATACGCGTTTTTGGTTTCTAATTACTTCCCAAATCGGCAGACTAAACGAAGAACGAACCGCTCCTATCGACGGAAAACGACATTTTTTGTATCGGTGAGAAATGCCCAGGAATGAACACTAACTTTTTTTTAGTGTTTTTAGTAATATTGAAGTGGGTTCAGGTGGAAAGACTAGCTAAAAACCGCTAAAAAATCTTAAAATTCGAAATTTTGATCGAAACCCGGCATTTTTTGTCTAGAAATCGATAGTATAGTAAAAAATGGTTCAGAAACACGTGCTTCATTTATATTAGAAAAATTCGATATTAAAGAACAGCGTTACCCCAACCCCGATAACGCAAAAGCATCAATAGTTATGTCATTTTCTAGATGTTTGTAAGGTTTTTACGTTTATTCATAGTTCAAAACCGTTTAGAAGCACTTGTCATATTTTTATTAAAAAAATTGGATATTAAAAAACAGAGCCCCCCCGCTAATACCAAAGAACCGCATGATCAAACCTCCAAAAACCGACCCGCAAGTACAAATCTCACAGATGCACTTCTCCTCGGTACCATCCGGATGTCGTACAACACGTGTACCCTGTGAATTGGTGGTATAGATGGGTTGTTGCTGGCCATAGTATTGTCCCGTAGTGCCGTTCATGGTGTTGCTAATGGAGGGGACGGAGTGGCCAGTGGCCAGTTGTGGATGGTGTCCATGACCCCCGAAAGGGAAGTCATGGGCAACCACCCATCCATACATTATCCCACTGTAGTCGACGTTTCGCAAATTCTTGGAGGTGAGGAGTGTTCCCTTTTTCGACAATATGGAAGCTAAAATTACGGAACAACCGGAAAAATTCCTCGTAAATTGTAGATAAAAATTTGGGTACTGGACTATTATCGGTGGGGGGTTCGCTGCGGAAACCAAATTTTTTTTGTCTGTTATTACCTGCTAATCAGAAATGTTTCAGTTTTATAGTTCAGTAGTTTTTGGTCGCTAGGAAGTTCTAAAAAATCTTTTTTAGCCCATTACCACCCCCCCCCCGCTAATAGTCCAGTAGCAAAATTTGCTGAAAGCCACGCTCACCTGTCCACACGGTCCTTTGGCATTATCGAGGGGGGTCTTATGGGGTCACCCATTTTTTTCCCGGTTGCATCTTTACAAACCTTTGATGAAATATACAAAATAGCTATTTGCAACAAAAATTAACTATTAGCTAAATTTTTCGATAGTTTTCCACTTGAAACTTCTAAATTTTGCTAAAAACATTAGTGAAACCCTTCAAACGGTAATAAATCAGAAAATGGAAAAAAAATTCGTACTGCCCCCTAATGGAAAAGATCCTAACTCATTTTACTTATTCTCATCTCGTTTTAGGAGTTAAAATATACAATTTAGCCGCGTTTTCTGATCAAAAGCTATCTTCTTTTGTTGCAGCAAGAACCGTTTGGTCAAGGGTCAACCTCTCAAATTGTTGCCAAGCTTCCGGGTTGCCTGCCTGATTTGCTTATTTCATTGTCTTTTCGGCGCGTGCCACCATCAAGACGAGTTTATACCCTGCGTGGGCGAGAGGGAAAGGAATGTTTTTTGTCCCGAAACGACGCCCTTCCGCTTACCCATTTTAGAGGCAGCCGAGAAGACGGCTTTCCGATCCGATACTCATGACATCTACCCTTTCCAGCATGATCACCGCTAGCTGCCACCTACCCAGCCGGGTCATCTCGTCGTTTGGCGGTAAAAAGAGGGAAATTAGATTAGGATCGAGTGGAAAGGAAAGAAAAGAAAACTGTTCAAAGAGCCTACCAAAATGACCTCGATTTTCGGAGGTTATTCTAAACGATGGGGAGCATGTAATAACAAATTTCTAACGATTTTTCGATCGATAGCTGGACTAAATCGTTGAAAATTTGCTCGAAAATCTATATTTTTGTATGTTTTAGAACACATTTTAATAATTTAACGCTTGGGACTAGTAAAAATAGTCTTGAAGCGCTTCCTCTATTTATATTAGAAAAAGGCCCCGGTTATGCAAAAGCACCGTGGAATTTCCTATACGAAACACAATTCCTCCATGATGTTTGCTAGCCTACCCAATAAAAAATAGAAAAAGCCAGCCAAAAATGCAACAAAAACCCGCCTAGCCAACGTTTCCATCCTTTCCCCCATTCCCCGTCTATTGTATTGCAACGTAGCTCTCCACTAAACACCTGAAAACGGGCGCCCCCAGCGTGCTCGTAAGTAGTATTGTGGCGTAGCGGCACTCGGGGTCAGCGCTTCCCTCCTTCTTCCCCTCCAAGTGGCAGTGTGAAGCTGGTGCTCGACCTTGATGGCTGTGGCTCTTCCCCCTCTTTTCTTGAGCCAGAACCGACTGGACTGGATCGTCTTCCCCCTGCTCTCTCCCTCTTTTTTTAATGTTTTCCCCCGTCTTTATACTCTACCTATAAAAGGACCGGATGGTGAGGTAGAAGCCAGCCCCGAGCCACCCAACGACTCACAGGTAAATGCCTTTAACGGGGTTGGGGTACGGTAGACGGGGGTTTTTAGCGCAAGGGAGCGCGCGTTTTTGCGTTGGCTTTATACCGCTACGTATGCGCCTATTTACACCTGTTTCCTTTTGCGTAAATAGGCGTCAACGTAGGTGTCTGGACGTACGCTTCCACTACGCGACATTACGGCTCTTATTCGTTAGCGGGGTGGGGTAATTGTTCTATTTTCATAGTTTATCTAGAATCTTTATTTTAAAGTCCGTTTGGTCGAAATATTAACATTTTTTAAGTTTTTAAATTGATGAAACTGAAAAAATTTTCGGATTATAAAAACACTAGAAACATTTTTTATAGTTAGTTTTCCCCTGCTAGCAATATCTCCCCCCTTCCCCCCGCTAAGGAATCAGCACGAAAATACCCCCGATTTTAGGCCCAAAATGTTCGAGGAGAAGCTTCTCGTAGGCGCTGCCTGCGGAGCATCAGCAATCGCTGTCGCCACCGTGTTGCTCGTCATCCCGTCTCTCTACAATGAGATCAACATGGTACTTTACAGCTATATAATCCGGTAACATGGTTTCCTAGGTTCACGACGAGGTGCTTGATGGCGTCGGCGTGTTCCGCGTCGAGACGGATACGGCATGGCAAGAGCTGATGGATATCCAGATTGTCGTCACCCCACCCACGAAGCCCCGTGAGAATCCCTTCAATTCCATCTTCCGTCAGAAGAGGCAGAACTACAATGGACTCCCCGCCTGGTGCCAGTGCGAGCCAACCAAGCCTCAATGCCCGCCTGGTAAGGATTTTGGTTGTTTGGGAGCTGCTGCGTTAGCGGGGGTAAGCGGTTCAACTTTGCATTTAACGCGGCACATGAGAACTAGAGAAATCGGCGCTGGTCTATTAGCGGGAGGCTATCTAGCCTATCCATAGCAAAAATTTTAGCTGTTTCTAGTGTTTTTAATAGATTTTGATGACGACACGTCATAAAAAAGTAAAAAAAACTAAAATTTTAGTAATTTTCGCATTTTTGAGCAGAAAACCATAATTTAAAAAGTTACGTCTAGGCCTGCTGAAAGACACCTAAAAATCACTCGTTCTTTCAAAGCTCATCCCCAAATTCCAGGCCCACCTGGACCCCCTGGCCAGCCCGGTCAGCCTGGAGGCCCCGGACTCCCTGGACCCCCCGGAAACGACAACCAGGTCACCTACGCCCCGATCACTTGCCCACCACTCGACACCTCGTGCATCCAGTGCCCCGCTGGACCTCCTGGACCCCCTGGACAGGACGGGTAAGGAATTTATCTTGCAGCTCTCTTAAAACCATCTTGATATGCTTTGGCAAAAACATTAACCATACCAATTTCAGATACCAAGGACCCCCCGGCCAGCCCGGACAGCCTGGCCAGCCTGGACAACGCGGAAACGACGGCCAGCCCGGACCTCAGGGACCCCTCGGAGATGCCGGACACCCCGGACAATCCGGACAGCCTGGTCGCCCTGGACAGCCCGGACGCGATGGTGTCAAGAAGATCAGCAAGCCTGGACAGCCCGGACGCCCTGGACAGCCTGTAAGTTATAGAAAGCAACGAGGTCGGGGTGTTCAAATGAATTGCATACCATTTTCGGTTCTTTACTATCTAAAAACTTTAAAATTTTGCAGAAAAATCGAAATTTTGATCGAAAAACGGTCCTTTTTGGACGAAAATCTACATTTTGTATTTTTAAGAAAATTTGTAAAGTTATTACAGTAAAAACAGTTTAGAAAAAGATTTATATGCAACAATTGGATTGTTAGAAAATAGGCTCCCCCTGATAACGCAAGAAACACGTTTTCAAAATCATTTTTTGGCCATTGAGGCTTCAAAACAAACCCCAAAACCACTACCCTTTCAGGGACCCCAAGGACAACCCGGACAGCCCGGCCAAAACGGACAACCCGGCAACCAGGGCCCACAAGGACCCCAAGGACCCGCTGGTGCTCCTGGAAACGATGGATACCCAGGAGGCCCAGGTGGCCCCGGAGGTCCCGGGCTCCCCGGAACCGATGCCGCCTATTGCCCGTGCCCGCCTCGCTCGGCTGCCGCTTCATCGTACAGCCAGCGCGGAGGATACCGTCTGCGCAGAGTCCGACTCCACTAGATCGAGTCACTCGAATCCGGCCAATAAATTCTGGCATTCTATTTCCTTGGGTATCATATTGCATGGAAAAACTGAGCAACAACACTGGCAGCATTTTGCTAGCTAAAGATAATTTTTAAATCTTCACACTTCCAAAAGAATAAAAAAAATCCAAAATATACCTAAGCCTTATTAAAAACAGTACTATAACGTTTCGATTTTTAAACAATAAATAAAAGTGGAATCTGCTATTTCAGATGAAAAAAATCCGAATATCGAAAGTTCTAAGTAATTCCCTATTCTAACAATTGTCCCTACTATACAATTCATACGCGGGCAACTCCCCTCACTTACCTCGACCCTTCCATCCCTCCCCTCCGGGGGGTTAGTCGCGTTCCAGCTGGACATTTCGCAAAAGGGCGCCCCCTGGCTACGCTACCCCAATTTCGGGCTCTTCGCTGCCTAATTGCACGCCATCCTTAGGCTAATTCCCGTTTCGCTCTAAGAAATGTATAGAAATAAAAAAGTCGTGTTCACAATTAGAATTATAGAAAAAAATTTCTCTCTACATTCCACATAGATTATTGTAGTACACGATACGCCACTGAACACCATTTCGGGAAGTGTAGCCTTCCGGAATCACGTGTTTTTGTAATTTGATGCATTACGGCATGGAATATTGAGTACGCAAGGCGCCAATGGACCGCTTTGTGGATAGAGTAACCTTTCGGAACGGCATTTGCAACAAGAATAAATTTTTTCGATCGATTTTTAGGTAAATAAAATATTCTTAGGTCTAACACGCTCATTTCTATTTTTTAAATCTTTCCTTTTTTTAAGGGCATTCTTTGGATCACCCCCCCCACCCTTTTGACGTATTTTTCAGCCTAAATTTCAAAGAAGACCTTGGTTCGCCACCCCAAATCGCTAGTTTCTGCCAAAACTGACGACAGCCGCTCGTAATTCAATTTTGTTCCCTCTCCTCAATAACTTTCCAAAATCCCGCGCCCATCCGGGGGCTTCTGGACGAAGGGTGTGGGCAAGGGTCGCTAATGGATGTGAGGGGGGACCGACCCATTGGTCACTCGACCCTTTCGGCCACAACGAGACGCCCTCTGCCCCCCGTCCTCTGGTTTGTCCCTTTCCTATTGATCCCTCAATATCTCTGCCCTCTCCTCTGAACACCCACAATGTCCGGCGCTATTTCGGAATAGGGGACCCACTTTGATTACTCTAAAAACCATTTTTTCTGGTGTAGTTTTGCGCGTTTGTTCCGAAAAACGGTGTCCCAGCCCGTAAAAACGTACATTTGTACAAAAATATTTTATCTTTATAGGATGTCGTTAGGACGTAAGACGGGAGGTCTTGGCTTGGCCAGCGCACTTGCTAGGCTACCCACTTGGGATACTATATTTCTGGCTTGAACTTGACTTGACTGGAACACACATGCGCTAAGTATATGCTAAGTATTGGAACACACACGTTTCCGTGTTTTAATAACAGCTTATCGCTACCTTACTTTACGTGACAGGGGCGGAGAGCCGGCCTAGTTTACAGGTGGGCTCTACTTAGGTTAACGTAAGTCAGGGTCGCCTAGGCTTGGTCCCAATGAATCTAAGATCGGGCTTACTAGCATTTAGCATTATTTATGCATACGTTTAAGGTTCAAAAACGGAGCTAGGAGTGTATTGTAGCCAAAAGTCGAGCCTGCGCCGCTAGGTTCCCTAGCAGCCCATTAAACTGTAATCAAATTTTTCTGTGTGAAAATGTTAGGTTTTAAAGTTAGTATGGTGTTTATTCGGAACCAGCGCGCAAAACTATCCAGGAAAACATCGCACAAACCCCAGCCTTGGTATAATAAAAGTGGGTCCCCTATTCCGAAATAGCGCCCAATGTCCACCACGCCCTGGGCTGAATCATCTTCACCCTCCCCGGAACACGGTCCTTATCGCAATTTTGAACGTGTCTGAAAACATTGGCACCATGAGTCAGTGGCGGAAACGTTTTCATTAGTGCTCCATATCTTTTGGCCAGTTTTAAGGCTAAATCTGCTAGAAATAAAATTTAAGCATTCGTCGTTTTTCGCATTTTATTTTCTATTCTTGTAACATATAGGTTTTTTGCTGTTACATTTCCAATTTAGAAGAAAATTATAGAATTTTACTAGATTCCTGTCGCTGAATTCAATGTATTTTCTCTGATATAGTCTTATGGGGTGATTTTCAATAGGTTCAGATTCATTTTCACAGGATTTTCAATAACCCCGAGGGCTAAAATTACAGTCATGGCGTATATTTTGTTCATTTGAGCGATTACATGGCTTTTTAGCACTTCAAATTGAGTAAAAACGCTCCGTATCACAGTGCGAAACTTAAAAAAAAACTATTTTTCAATTTGTATAGCCATTAAATGCGTTTTGCCAAAAAATTTTGGGCCGGGGTCGCATGAGAACACGGTATTCTGCTTGCAACTCCGCTTTTTGCGTCACCTCTGTTTCGTTTTACGGTACCTTTTGTGTATTTCTATGCGTCTCCTTTCAGGTGGTTACAGCCATTGGGCCCCGTTCTATGTGAGACGCGACCTCCAGCCGGCCAGCTGATCTATAGGTGAGAGCTTTTCCGGGCTGTCAAATAGTCCACTCAAAACGACCATGTCTCCCCCCGAAACTAGGATAGGGGTTGTTCGACCTGGGGCGGGAGTGTCGGGACGGGGAGGTCGAGCTCCCCTTAATGGAACGGATCGGATCCGGCTTCCCGTGGATCTTATCCACATTTTGAATCCGCCATCACTCGGGTATTCCCTTTGGTCACCTTTCAACTCTTCCGGTGATCGTCTTATGTGCTATTATCGGCTATGCGACGCCTATAATTGGCTGACCCTCAAGAAATATAGGGATAAGCTAATAGAGGTTAGTCATGAAAATTATTTCAGATTTTATACCCTATTTCTACAGTACAAACTTGCTAAAACATGCTCAAATTTTCTTTAAATATGGAAAACTGGTTTATTTTGAAGTTTTGCGCTCTTCCTGTGCGGCATTGAGCAGTTTTAACTGCTAAAATCGTTATATTACTCAAAATAAATACAATTTAATTTTAAGATTTAGTTTTTATATTAAAGGTAATCCGATAATATACTTACAGAATCACAACCTTTTCTAAAATATTTTCCCTTACTGACCAAGCCCGTTCTCCACCCACCCCCCGCCTAAACGGCAACCATTATTCTGCCTGAGCGATTCGTAATATTGCCCTTATCAAGATGGGATATTTCTGGAATGTGTCCATCGATTTCCCCTAGTTGACGCCCAGCCGTTTTCCTTATCTAACAGTCCCATTGTCAGTGGGTGGGAGGGTGGGGAAAGAGCGCTAATCGTCTTGGGCCCTCCCCTGTTCCAGCGAACCGGTCAACCTTTCCAATAATCAACGGCATTTCTATGTATATTCCGAGTTTTCAGGAGATTCGTCAATGGTGTAGTGATGTAAGGGTTGATTTGTTTCGGACCTGAAATTAACGTCATTTTCGATTCTGGAAAAGTACTGGTTCTTGCGCGTTATCGAGGGGGACTGATTTTTTCCTATATGTCCAGAAATGTCTAGTAACTAACTATATATTTGTATTGACTATATTCAATGGAAAACAGCAAAAAATGTATAACAACCTTTTATTCGCAATTTTGTTGGAAAAACCTATTTTTTTGCATTTTTAAATTGGGCTACGGTTTACTTTACCCCCCAGCCGGAAGTTTTTGGCTGTAACTTTTTTATTTTACATTATTGTAGGCTCAAATTCAAACTCTTAGTATATTTTTCAAAGCTCTATCGAATGGCGTTGCAAAAATCCCGACAACTTTGAGACCCTTCGGCTGTGGGGGGTAAAGTAAACTCTTACCTTAAATTGATTTTTTTGTATGGTTTTTAGAAGCGCTTTTTCCATCGGGATTTGAAAAACATAAAAAAAATTTAACTCTCCCGATGATGCCAAAGAACCAAATAGCAACATGAAGATGTGATTAAATTGATGCTATCCTTTTAATTGTTTATCTGATACCCCAGGGGCACCATCGCGGAATGACTAGTTTTTTGGGGTAGAACTCGTTTTTGAGAATAAGCTCCGCAGAACTGGGTCATCGGGACGCGCTGAATTTCGCTGCCTATCACTTTCCCCTTCTCCCCCTCCCTCTCAGACACAGAGCCCGCGCCACGCTAAGTCGATCGTTTGTTACCAACACTTTGCAAAAAAGGTCCCGGAATTCGGACTAATAATTGGGGCAACTTCGAGGATTCGAAGTAATCGATTTTTACCAATTAATTCCCTTTTTAAAACCACTTTTTAGAAAATGGGCCTCTGCTTCTCACGGGGCTCGCGCTCGCCCGAGCCACATTTCAACGATACCACAGGTGTTTTTTTACTTCTGATTTTTCTAATGGTTTTTAGGCTCGAACTTTAACCCAAACCCGCAGTCTTTCGTGGTACATCCCGGGCCAGGAAATGCACAGTTTGTGCAGCAACAGGAAGACCATCGAAGTCGCCATGGGACGATACAGGACAGCGGAATGCAAGGTGAATAAAGAATCCCGTATTTTTCCTAAAAGCCACTTTATTCGATAGTTTTCCAGCTCATCTGACAATTTTACCAGCCACAAAGGCCCAAATAAGCTTTAAAGGGATAGGGGCGGCATAATGCAATCGATTACGCGCGGGAAAGAAAATGTCTCTGCGCCTCCCCCTGGGCGCGCTCTTGCCCTGTTGGCTACTTGCCAATTTGTTGATGGGGGATCGACACCTGCCGTCGGCAGCCCTTTAAAAACGAAAAAATATGCACCGAGGAAACGAGAAAAAATTTTTTGGGAAAATATACGCACGCTTTCGTTCGTTATATTACCAATTAAATTGATTGTTAACAGAGTATTCTACTAATTGAAATTAAATTTCAGGCAAAGAATCCCTGATAGCCCTCTACGCCTATGATTCGCGTGCCGAAGGCGATCTCTCTTTCAAAAAGGGCGACATCATGTACCTACTGGATCAAAGGTTTGTTTTTACGACCGAACCTTTAATTTAGGTTAATTTACGCGTTGATTTAAATGTTATTTTACCAAAATAAGCTTTTTAGCAATGTCGACTGGTGGTACGTGCAGCACGCGCGCAGCATGCAGACCGGATACGTCCCGCGAAATTTTGTGGCCAAGCAGCAGACGATTGAGAGTGAAGAGTGGGCTTTGTAACAATTTCAAGGAAGATAAGTTTTTAGATGGTTTGCCGGCAAGATACCGAGGAACCGTGCTGAGCGGCTGGTGCTTTCACAAAATCTGCCTAAGGGTAAGTTTTAGAAATTAATATATTTTTTTTTAATTTGTTTTCATAAAAGTAACAACCTGGATTTTTTTAGGAACATTCTTGATCCGAGAGCGTGAAGCCGAGACCAGGGAATATGCGTTAACGATTCGGTACTTTTTTGTCTGCGTTTTTATGAACACTAGCCGGAAAGTGACGTTTTATTTATTTGTTTATTGATTTTTACACGCTTTTAAAGAGCGTGCTGAAAAACCTCTTTAAAAGATTTATGCCATTTTTTTCAGTGACTCGGACGATGGACGAGGAGCCGGCACCGTCAAGCACTACAAAATCAAGCGGCTCGACCACGATCAAGGCTTCTTCATCACCACACGCCGCACCTTCAGAACGTTGCGGGAACTCGTCGAATACTACTCTGGTAAGCCGTACGATGACCGCATATTGATAAATATAAAATTTATAAAATAACAAGGTTTATTAAATTTTTTTCAGAGCTCTGCGACGGTCTCTGCTGTACGCTCACCTTCCCCGCCCCTAGAATCGCCCCCACCCGCCCGGATCTCTCGCACGACACCCAGCAAAACTGGGAAATCCCCCGGAACCAGTTGCAGCTCAAGACCAAGCTGGGCGACGGCAATTTCGGCGAGGTAAGTAAGCCGTGTTTGGTTCTTCCACTGATTCTATGAATTCAGAGACTATTCAGAGACGTTATTACGTTGCTGGGCCGAGCTGCGCTCATAAATTATAGAAAAACCAGCGCCCAAAACCCGCTTCGCGAGCCTGGGCGCTGGAATGCGTTTTTGCATGATAAATTTGACTTTCCGATCACTCGGGTCCTTCGGACCCTTCCCCCCGCCGACCACACGGGCGAGTGCAACTGGCAAGAATGAGGAAATTTCTATTTTTCGCATTATGCAAGTTAGCCCTATCAGGTACCCCCAAAAATGAATAAAACCGGCTTTAACTTTGTAAACTTGTATTTTATCGCAATTCTGAAAACGCCATCGGAAACAGAAGGGTCGATTCCCCCGGGTGACGCAGAATTAGGGCATTTTATGCACGGGAAGGCCCTCAAATCGGGCCTCGAAAGTGACATCCACACACACACACACACACACACACACACACACACACACACACACACACACACACACACACACACACACACACACACACACACACACACACACACACACACACACACACACACACACACACACACACACACACACACACACACACACACACACACACACACACACACACACACACACACACACACACACACACACACACACACACACACACACACACACACACACACACACACACACACACACACACACACACACACACACACACACACACACACACACACACACACACACACACACACACACACACACACACACACACACACACACACACACACACACACACACACACACACACACACACACACACACACACACACACACACACACACACACACACACACACACACACACACACACACACACACACACACACACACACACACACACACACACACACACACACACACACACACAAACAAACAAACACACACACACACACTACACACACACGCACACACACACACACACTAACACACACTCTAATATAAGGTAGGTTTTTGGCATATCTTTTCGGCGCGTCTAGATACGTCTAGTTAGGTAATAGCGAGTATATTAATAGTCTTTATTCTTTTGTATAATGTTAGCCGTATTTAAACTGAAACAACCTATTTAGAAACCTGAAAAACACACTATTTTTACTAGAAAACATGGATTCTATGAAAAAGAGAATCGCCTAGTATCAATATTCCAGGTTTGGTACGGCAAATGGCGTGGCATCGTCGAGGTGGCGATCAAGACGATGAAGCCCGGCACGATGAGCCCTGACGCTTTCTTGGGGTGCGATTTTTACATTTTTTCAAAAAACCTATTTTCAGCGAAGCTTCAATTATGAAGCAGTGCGACCACCCGAATCTCGTGAAGCTCTACGCGGTGTGTACACGAGAAGAGCCCTTCTATATCATAACTGAGTAACGCATCAAAAGTGATTGAATATCTTTTTTTTTCTAGATTCATGAGCGGTGGCTCGCTATTGCACTATTTGCGCGATGAGAAGGGCCGTCAATTGGGCATTCCAGCTCTCGTGGACATGGCTGCTCAGGTATGCATAAGCTTTTTTGCTGTCTTTTAGACACTGTCGAAAATTCCGAAAAATGTGATATTTTAGCAGTTTTGAAATTAATTTTCGGCATTCTGATGGCAAAATACCGGCAACCCGTATTTAACGCCCCTTCACGCCCTTTCGCGCCCTCCTGTATTTCGCGCCCCCTGTAAATAACGCCCCCTGTATTTAACGCCCTCCAAATGACCACGAAAAGGGCGTTATTTACAGGAAAAAGCTCGTTTTGCAGGGCGTTATTTACAGGAGAGCGTTAAATACAGGGGGCGCGAAATACAGGGGGCGTTATTTACAGGAGGGCGTGAAGGGGCGTGAAAGGGCGTTAAATACGGGTTGCCCAAAATACCTCATACATTTTTCAGATCGCCAATGGCATGATGTACCTCGAAGAGCGGAAGCTGGTCCATCGTGACTTGGCGGCTAGAAACGTCTTGGTTGGCGAAAAGATCTCTGGCGTCCCGGTAGTCAAGGTTCGTTTCTGACGATATATTAATCCTTCTTGTTTTAATTAACTATAGATTTATATGAATCTTGATTTACTTATTAATTTGACCCCTTTTGTTCAGGTTGCTGACTTTGGCCTGGCGCGCAAGCTGATGGAAGAGGATATTTATGAAGCACGCACCGGCGCGAAATTCCCGATCAAATGGACGGCTCCCGAGGCGGCCACCTGTGGCAATTTCACGGTGAAAAGCGATGCCTGGTCGTATGGTATCCTCATCTACGAGATCATCACCAGAGGACAAGTGCCGTATCCTGGTAAGAATGTTTGCTAGCGTGTTCGATTAGATGCAGTTTTCGGAGTACTATGAATTGGCGCTTTTCGGAACCTGTCCATAAAAATGTTATTTTTTCCATTTTAAATGAAAATCGATGTTTTATACATCTTTCCTTCCAGGTATGCACAACCGCGAGGTGGTGGAACAGGTCGAACTCGGCTACCGTATGCCGATGCCACAACGATGCCCGGAGAATATTTACACTGAGGTTTGTTAAAACTAATTCGTTGGTTTATTTTTGAAAATGTCGAAATCCGTGATGCCGAAAGTCAAAATGTCGAAATTTTCGGCATGATATTTTAAGTTTTTCGGGAGATTCCTTTACGGTAAAGCTCGTATTGCAATTTCGGCCTTTAGTCTCCAGCCGAACCTCCCATAACCCGTTTTCAGGTGATGCTCAAGTGCTGGGACAAGAACCCCGAGCGACGACCGACCTTCGAATACCTGCATCACTACTTCGAAGACTACTTCGTCTCCTCGCAACCCAACTACGTGCCGCCCAGTGTCTAATCCGCCCGGCCTGCCGCCCCCAATTATTCTCGAGAATCGGGTGACCCCCCAGAAGTCGTCGGACGCAGCACAATCTACTTAAAAGATTACATACCGTAATGTTTGCCAGTACCTTCACCACCTCGGGTCTACACAAAATAGGCGCCCCTTGTAGACTAATTAATTAACTTACTTTTACACCTTTTTGCATTAAATTCCGATTTCCTTGTGCTTGATATGTTGTTAATATCCGTTTCACCGATATTACAATTATACCTTAACCCCCCTTGCCGCGATACCTGATGCTCTGTTTGGTGCCTAATCGTTTCTCCCCTCCGTTGAACTTCTACGATTTTCAGGTGAATTACACGTCCTCCGAATTGTGCATTCTGAGCGACTCGGCCAAGCCTCTAAATACATTTTGCCCTTCATTCCCTCTGATCCCCCAGCCAGCCCTTCACTATGCAACTCTTTCTTTCGTTTTTTGCTCGCTCACCTATACAAATGCCTTGCATCATTTCTTTGCAAAAATCTTGATCAATTTTTTTGAATTTTTTTACTTAATTGACGTCTTGTGACTACGGTGTACATTTTGTGCGATAAAACCTTCATCGAATTTCATGAGCGACGAATAATTTACAGAATATGGTGCTTTTGTGTTGGCGGGGGGGCAAAATTTCCGCAGGAATTTAGTCCTAGCAGTATCGCCATTTTTATTTTTTTACCTGCTTTTTTAAGTCATCGTAGGTCATAGAAAATTCGTAAATTTATAAAGTGTGGAAAATGTTTATTTTTTGAAAAATAACAAAAATAAAAATTTTTGGAATTTCAATTATTTACAGATTTTCGATTTAATTCCTGAGAATCACAAACGACTAACAGACTTAAAAAAACACTAAACGGGTTGATAAGTGGGCAGAAAGACAAAAATTACCCTTCTCCCACCCCCGGATAACGCGCAAGTACCCATAACCTACTTTGCATAACCGCCCAATCTCCATGGCTTCGGGGGAAATTTGTATTAGAATTTCCGCTCGAATCCTTCTTTACGGCTCCAAAATGCGTGCCATTCCTCGATGAGCTGATGCCGAAGCACCACGACTTCCCTCACAATCCACTATGTAAGTAACGGGGGCCCTAAATGATATATTTTTTTAGGTCATTGCAGCTCATGCACGCTTCACCCCCATGATCTGGAGTATGAGAAAGAGCGCGTGTTTCTCTACGAGTAAGGCTAAACTCGTCGGTGCTGGATCGTTAGCGGGGGGAGCTATTTTTATTTGTAGTGTAAATGATTTTAAAACTTTTTTATTAATTTTTGGTCGCTAGGAATTTCTAAAAAAACTGAGAATTCTTGAAAAAGAGAAAACGTTGCCTATTTTTGGCCATTTTTCATAGTTTTCGAACCAATGACAAATTTTGATGATTTTTATGTGCTTTTCAGATCTAAAACTTTACAAATGCTGTAGAAATTAGTTATATTTTGTTCGAAAGCCGTTCAGGGTTACTGGGAAACATTGTTTCCCTCCCCCGCTAACAGGCCAGCACCAAATTTTCTGATGAAAACCAAAACGAGTTTCAATAATTGAGTGCAAACCAAGTAGAATGCTAGCATTTCAGCGCGATGGCAAGCAAAGCGACCCGGGACGCGATCTTCGAAGACCAGTTCAAATCGGCCGTCACCCATCTGGCCGATCTGAAAAAGGCGGCCGGCACGCAGAATGTTTTCCGCACCACATACGTCAAGTTGGAAGGGCAAATGAAGTCGCAGGTCGTCGAGATGATGAACGAGAGCCGCGATCCGGTCGAATTGTTTTCCGATCGGGTTCGTTTACTTTTTAAACGGTTTAGTCAGACGTTTACCGTATTTTGATTAGTTTTTGATCACTAGAAAATAGAATATAGAATATAGAAGATAGAAAATGGTATAAAAATGTGAGATTTTCGAATTTCTACCTTTTTTGCGATGTTTCGGTGCTGGATCGTGGGACGGGGGATGATAGTGAGCTATAGAAGTCATAACTAGTATTTTTTAACCCCGTTTTCGTACGTCTTTAACTGATGGAACATTAGTTTTGATTTTTTGAACCGTTTCGACGTTTTTTTTCTTTAATTTTTGCTCAAGAAGGTGTTGTAATAGCTTGTTCTGTCGAAAAACAACGCAAAAAGCTATAAAAAGAGACAATTGTCATGATCTGCAATAAGCAATTCCTCACAATACTTGATTTTAGGGTGAACATGATGGAGAGCCGGTGTTGGCGCGTCAACTCGTCGATCTGAACATCAGCGAATGCGTGAACCACTTCCGGGTGAAGTTTTGGATGCAGAAGCACTGGCGCTGTGGACCCGACACTCCGCAAAGGCCCTGGAACAACCAGTCATCAAGTCGAATTGCCATTCTGTAGGCTCTATGCTTTCGTTTAACAACTTCTTTTTAGTTACCGCCTTGTTGCTGTCTATTCTGGCTCCAGTTGTGCCACTCATTCTCGCGCGGAGGTTCGCCTACTCGAACACTCCATTCTTCCGGTTAGTTTTGAAAGTAGAATCTTGTGGCAGAAATGGGGTAATTATGTTTCCGCATTTGCTACTGAAAAACTAGGTCGATCTGACAATGTTATCACCTTGTTTCTTGATTCGCTTGATTTTCACCACAAATTTTTCAGTTGGGTGGCCGGTCTCTCGTCTCATGTCGTCTTCCTGGGTCTCGTCATATTTCGGCTGTTCTGGGATGAGGACAAATCTTCGATGCGAAACACGCGGCTCGAGTACACGTTCTACCTCGACTGTGTCATCTTTGCCTTCGTCCTGTCCAATCTGATTCTTTTACAGGTTGTTTCTCATTTTTGGGCTTTGAAAAGTTTGATAAATCTGCCAGGAAGTGTGGTCTTTCTAAACCTCGTTGGCTCGGGCTCAATTCTCATTCTAGGCTCGACTGGTCCGGCGTGGCTTGAAGTCATTCATGTGCGATTGGTGGAATTGGTAAGAGCTTTTCCTACGTTAGAAAGTATATTTAGGATCGAGACACTGATCGGAATCAACGGCGTCAACTTTTTCGTGGCTTCCTGCTACGTGAAGATCGAATTGGTGACTGGCCTGCCGTCGCTTGTCCATCGCCGTCATTTGGTGAGTGTTGAAATTATTTTTATAGTAGAAAAATGGAAGTAAGCGTTTTTGTTAAGGGCTTTTGATATTTTTTGATCAGAAAAATATAAGACAAACAATTGAATTTGAATGTTTTTAGCCTCCAACAGACCACGTGCTGATGGCAGAAGCTTCGCTAGCCATGTTGACGTTGTTGCTCGTCGTCCGCTTCGCCTACCATCTGCAACTCAGCCACAGCCTCGGGAAATTCATTGTACGTCCTTGTTTTATCCTGTATTACTAGCCACAAAATTCAGTTCGAAAGCAAGACAACAATTTTTTTGATCTACCCCTAAATTTTTCCTCCCCCGATAACGATCCAGCACCAAATTTCACATCTACTTTCTCACCCGCTTCAGGTGGCCGTCACTCAATGTGCCGCGGATTACATGAAATTCCTGGTGCTCCTCGTCGTGCTCTGCTCCGGTTTCGGGCTCGGTCTTTATGGTGGGTTTTACGCGTGTAACGTCACACAGCCGGTACAGCCTTATTTAAACCTGCAACGAAGTACAAGTACACTCATTACGGAATTCGTAAACGGATTGTGTCGTATTATCGCTGGGCGGATTTTCTGGTGCGATTACGTAGGGCAAAAGGGGGCTGGGCTACGGTCATTGGGTCACGGCATTAGGGTAAAAGGGTTTGGTCGGGTCTGGGGGCTCCGAGAAGGGGCGAAAAATGCTAGTAAAAGTTAGAAATAATTAAAAATCTCTTTAAAACTCGTTTTTCATCAACCTTTTCATGATTTATTTTAGAGAACAAATTATCGCGGATTTTTTGAGCACAAAAACGGCCAATTCGATCCATGAAATCTTTCGTTCTGAAAAAGGCCCGATTTTCGCGCATCAACCTTGTGGATTTACGTGCTGTTTTGCCACATTCGGGCCTGCTAGGGTACCCAAAATAGACTATTTTTTGTGCTGATTCTGAAAATGAGCTTGTTTATTATCTAGGACGTCAGATTCTCGAGATAAAAGCAAATTTTGGTGAAATTCATCCGGGAAACACCAAAATTTCGGGACCTGGGTAAAAAAGTACGCTGAAAACGATAAAACACAAATGAAAAGTTAAAACTTTTATTTTGCTAAGAATTTATTATATGCTCAAATTATTGGCAAAGGAGATGGTACGTTTTGCTACTCGTTACGTCACTGCGTCATTTGAATTATGCCGTAGCCGGCCCTCGCCCTGCACCTTCGTTGTTTAGCTGTATTGGGTGTGGTCATAGCATCGCACCATATTTTAGGTCCTGCATCCATTCTCGGCCACCGACGAGGAAAAGTCGGGCGAATTCATCAAGAACAACGGCTTCCAGGTCTACTCCGGAAAGTGGGTAAATAGTAAAGGTAATAAGCCTAAAACTTTACAAAATTGTAATAAAAATGACGAAAATATCCATGTTCCGACGAAAACTTCCGCATTTGCTTATCTTTGTAGATAGTTTTCCGCTTTGAAATAGTTACGTTTTGCTAAAAAAACTACAAAAATTTCTGTTCTGCTATCTGGACTTTTAGGAAAAAATGTTCTTTCCGATAAAGCAAAAGCGCGGATTTTTCAGTCTGGCGGAGGCGATGTCGAACTTTTTCTGGAACGTCTTCGGGCTGATTGACGAGGGCTACTCGCAGGCTCATGCTGGCTTTGCAGGTGCGTATTTTTGATAGAAACGGAAATGATGGAAAATCTAGGGCCAAACCAGGAGTCGGTGAACCCGGTGATGACGATGATCGTGGCGCGTATCATTTTGTCGGCATTCTTTCTAACCGTCGTCGTGGCTCTTCTCAACATTATGCTCTCGATTTTGGTGGCTCGTCTCGAGGCGGCAAAGGTGGGTGTTGCTCTCACTCTCACTCTCTCTCTCTCTCTCTCTCTCTCTCTCTCTCTCTCTCTCTCTCTCTCTCTCTCTCCCTCTCTCTCTCTCTCTCTCTCCAAATCTCTCTTCAGACAACCGACGAATGGTCATTCTACCGCACCAAAGTCATCCTCGACTATTTTGTAAGCCAGCCGAACTCGTTCAAGTTGAGGTCCATCTTTCAGAACTGGGAGATGTCCTACATACCACCATATAGCCTTCTCATTCCCTTCCGCTCGCTTTGTGTCAAGACACCACGTAACAAACCCCCCGACCCAACCATATTTTTCCCTCACTTTCCAGCCGACGAATCGGAGAAGACGCCGAAGGTGTGTCCGTAGCTGCACATTGCCGTTGAATTGATTGATATTGGGTGGCTGTTGTGATGAATGCATGCGCCCCACATTTCCAGTGATGAATTGTCCGAATAAAGGGTTTTTTGGTGGATTGCATGGTACTTTACGAGATGATGACACCTGGACACTGGCTGTCAGCTATTAAGAAATGCGCTCATGAGAGGTGGGGGCGCTCCGTAGCGTTCCTATGCCCGCGCGCACACTATGCTTGCCTACCGATCCATGATTTTTCGAGAGAGAGGCAAAGAAAGGGGCCAAAAAAAACTCAGAAATTTTCAACTTCAAATGCCTATAACTTTTGAAAACGACGTTGTTGTGGGGAGTCCACCGATACGAAATATAGAGAAGGCTCTTGCGCACATTATGGGAGGGGTTTTAAGGGTGATTTAGCGTGAAAATAAGGATTTATCTAGGATTTAAGCCGGAAAAATTGCGAAAATACAAGCTTTGTGCGCCGCGTTTTTCTTTGCGTTTAGCCGCATTCTTCCGGGTTTTTTCACCGATATTCATCGGAAAAGAATCGGTACTGTCAAATTGGGTACTTGTGCGGTCCTGGGAAGCAAAAACGGTGCTGAATGAGAGATCCTAATGATTGAACAACTGAAGCTAGTCAAAGTTTTCAGCTTTGTACGGATGAAGGGGCTCGAAATCATTGAATTGTGGCTAATTTGGGCAGTGCATGTCTTTGTTATTATGATATTCCTTTATTGAGCGAATCGGCACCATCTGAGACAATTTCTTCTTTAGAGCCCGGGAAATAGCAAAACTTTTTATTTTCCGCTTGGGCTTCTCTAGAGATCGGTTTTGGATCCCCTTCTGTACCTTTTGGAAAAAAGTGCAAAACCCGAACGGGCTTCTGTCGGTCAGAGGAACCGAACCAGCACCCTCTGCCTGGAGTTGCGACCGGCGCCTTAGACCACTAGGCCACGCCCTCCCCCACCCCCATGCGCGCCCTGACAGGCAGTGGTCCCGATGCTGGTCTCTCCGCTTCCCGCACCTTCCCTCGTTATCTGCATTCTCATTTCATACTTCCAAAGCCGCGACTGCTGTCAAAAAGATGGTTCTTTCGCATTACCCGATTTTTCTAAAATGTTTATTTTGTAGCTACGTTCTTTTATCAAGCTAGTCTCACTCCCCATAGGTTTCTTTTTCCACGTTACACACCCCAGTATAATCACCGGGAATCCGTATCAAGCAGTTTGCCGCCCGCCAGCGCGCCCGGGTTCAATGCGCCGGAAAATTGGCGTGTTTTTGCAACGGGTTGGTGGCCATTGCCGGGGGGCGACCCTGGCCGTCCAATAACCACCCAGGGGGTGGCCCACGCGTCACCTTTGAGGGGCCAAACGACCGTTTCTGGCCCTTGTTTTGACATCCAAGGATGGCAGTCGCACCGAAAAAAGTCATATTCAAAGCCGGAGGCGAAAAATAAATTGTAGGGTAAACCGGGGTAGGGTGTAGCGAGTTTCAGGTCAGGAATCGGAGGACCAGCTAGCAGAGATCCTTTGAGAATCCGTTGGCAAAACAGCAGAGACTCCTTGCGAATCCGTTAGCAAACGAGCCGAGTATCCTTGAGAATCGTGATCAACAAACAAGGGGAAAATCAGTGTGACAAGGATAAGATGTGACAATGCAATGCGTATGCCGCTATCTTTATTCCAGGAATACAAAAAAAGCAAAAATTGCGGAAAATTTACAAAAAACACAAAATTTGCTCAGGTCGCGGCGGGGATGTTGTTTAGGCGGCGGCCTTCTCCAGCTCGATCAGCTTCTTGACGCCGTCGTACATTTGGCGGACAGCCTCGTACCTGGAAATGATGATTTTAGCAGGTGGATATTATTTAGAAAGTAGTCAGGGATCTCGAAAAACGTACTCGGTGAGGCCGAGGCGCTGCTTGTTGGAGATGTCGTAGGTGCCGGCCTCGCTCTCGGAGTGCTCGCCGTGGATACCGCGGATTTGGAGCTTCATCTCCTTGCACACCTTCTCGAACCACTCCTTGTTGGCCGAGCTCTTGGGCAGCTTGATGTGGACGGAGGCGCGGACGGTGGTGCCCAAGTTGGTCGGGCAGAAGGTCAGCCAGCCGAGGCGGGGATGACGCGCGAACGGGGCCTTCTCGGCGATCAGCTGGAAATGGTGGAGATTAGTTTACGACAGGCAATTCCAGCTAGAAAAAGCTCCAAACAAACCTTCAATCCCTTGATGAGACGTTCGAGCACTTGTCCAACATGTCCGCCCGGCTGCATGGAGATGATGCGAAGATGGTCCTCCTCATTCACCCACACCAAGAACGATTTCTTCTCGTTGTGGAAGATGCCGCGCCCGGTGGGCCAGAAGCGGTTGGCATTGGCGGCCGACAGGAACCGATCACCCTCCTTGAAGAGGAAGTGGTCGGCGATCAGCTTGTCCTGGACATCCTTGCCCATTCCGGTCAGCGGGTAGTAGGTGCCCTTCAGGTCCGGGTCGGCCAGTCCCTCCAGGATGCCCTTCATGCGCGTCTCCATGTTCTTGTAGTTGAGCTCGGTGAGGCAGGGGTTGAACGGGTAGCCGACGAGGGAACGACCGCAGCGGACACGGGTCGAGACGATGAACTTGTTCTCCGGGTCGAGGTCGGCCAGGTCCTGGAAAACAAAGGGTACTGGACTGTTAGCAGGGGGGTTGCTAGTAAAATCATAGGGAAATACTACAATGCAACTATTTTTGAAGGGGCAAAACTACTAGTTTAAAAATTTGAAGTAATAATCGAAAACTACTAATAACGAGGAAAATAAGCTAATTTTTTAACAGGTCCCTGCCTGGAATTACAAGCGACAAAAATGTGCCGCCCTCGCTAATACCATCTCAGGAAAGCTAAACCCGCGGTCGGACCCGTTCTTTAACCCGCGGTCTGTCTGCAGCCGATTCCCTTATCCCGCCTTCCAACCCGCGGTCGGGACCGTTCTCTACCCGGGGTCGGACCTTTCCTGAACCCAGCTCCAGCCCGCGGTCTGATATTGCCACTAGTCAAGCCACTTCCGGCGCTTCCGCGCCCGCCTTCCGACTTATATTTCTAATACCACGCTTCGCGTGATATTAGAAACTAATCTGATCTTCCCGAAATTAAGATTTCGTTTCTACGGAACACTTATTCTTGTTTTTCGATGCTTTCATTGTTTTAAGAGTTGCCATTTCCCACAGTAATAATAGTGTTGCGCTCGCAAGCAAATATTCGGGTATTGCGATAAGCAGCGCTTGTTTTTTGGTAGATGACCTAAGCAATACTTTAACAAGTTTCGGTTGCGAAAAATTTACGTTCACCGATTTTACGTTATTATAGTTTTACCAGCGCCCAAAAACCCGCTTCGCGGGCCTTGGGCGCTGGAATGCGGCCTTTGCATGAGAAATTTGACTTTCCGATAGCTTGGGTCCTTCGGACCCCCTCCCTGCCACCGACCACACCCGCGCGTGCAACTTGCAAGAATGAAGAAATTTGTATTTTTTGGAATTATGCAAAGTAGCCCTCCCTGGCGCCGGACACACACACACACACACACACAGAGATACGCGACCAAATTATATAAGGTAGGATGAGGACGAAAATTAAACAGAAACATACGCTCCTTAGATAGAACCGGGATTTCAACTGGGCGCGCGCAAGTAATTAAAAAAAAATTTTTGGGAGTTCGATGTCGTCATCCAACCCGCCGTTAACCCGTCTTCGACCCGTTCACAACCCGTCCTCAACCAGCCCATAACCCGTTCCCTCTCAACCCGCGGTCGGACCCGTGGTCTAACCCGTTCTTGGGTTTCAACCCGCGGTCTAACCCGTTCTCGGCTTCCGACCGCGGTCGAACCCATTCCAACGGGTTCGACCGCGGGTTTAGCTTTCCTGAGCAAGTACAAGTCCAAAAACCAGTCAACTATTAAAAATTCCCTACAGCAATGTTCTTCTCGCCAAGGTCCATGTCGGGCTGCTTGTCGGTGGCCTTGAAGCCATTGTGGTACTCCTCGATGATCGGGTTGAACAGGTCGGCGAACAGGGTGTACGCCTCCGCGTCGGGGGCGTAGACACCCACTCCAGAGTCGAGGTTCTCCACGCCGGACTGGACGCAGTCGAGCAGCGTCGCGCCGAGCTTCGTCTTCTTCCACTGAAAAAGAAACGAGAGATTTCAGCCAGGAGATGAAAAGGCTGACCTTGTTGCTGCTGAGGACGGTCTTGGTGAAGTGCTTCTTGAGGAGCGAGTTGCAGTCGGCGGCGCCTTGGAGCTTGGCGAAGCCCTCGTCGAGCTTCTTGACGACATCCTGTGAGACTTGAGCCATGGTTGATGACGGTGTCTACTGAAGAGCAGAAGTGATAGTTGTTACCCGCGTTTGGCCGGCTTTTATAGTTGAAAACGTATGCAAAAGCGGATGTAAAGTGTGGAAAGGTACGGTAATTACCGGGGAAGATATTCAGGGGTATTTGATGGAAATTACGGGAGTTTTGGAGTGTAGAAAAGAAAGAAAATTCGCCATGAAGAGCTACACTTGGTTTTTATTTATTTTTATTATTTATTTATTATTGAATATTTTTACTATTTTTTAAAACATTACCAGGGTTGAAAAGCCGCTTCGCGACTTTTCAACCCTGGCCCCGTCTCATCCCAAGATGTTATTCACTTTGCATAATTGTTCCCCAATTGCGAAGACAAAAAAATGAACAACACTCCCTCCACCCCTTTATATAAGCTACTTCAACTTCCGGCGGATGCTAATTGTTTCCTAACAAAGAGGGCGGCCGAAATTTTTAGAAAAACTGAAAACTAATGTTGAAAACAGCTGATTTTGTTAAATCTGATAATCGTGCAGTCATCCCAGAGCCATTACGCACATAATGTCGTATCATACTTACCTTAAATTTAATCGCTTATCGAGATATCCTCCGGACATGGTGACGGAAGTTGCATGCAAAGTGTCACACACACACACATACACACACACAAACACTATTTTTTTTATACAGGGTGTCCCAAAAAAAAGACCCCCCCCCCAAAAATTTGAGCCAGAGGGCACCTACGGAGCTGAAAATTTGCACAGAGGTAGCGAAGCCAATTTCCCATGTATATGGAAAGTTTGAGCCATATCGGCCGACGGATTTTAAAGTTATAGCGAAAATACTTTTCATTTTTAATTTAATATGGGGATTTTTGCAATTTGCATCAAAAATATGCGTTATTCTTGAATTTACGAGCCGATTTTGCATAAATTTTGCCAAAAAATGCCATTCTCTTGCTGGAGCTTTTGGAAAACGATTGCTCATGCAGCGTGCAGACGATCAGCAAGACCGCCGAGTACAAGATACATTGGTTGAAACTATCGTTCAGCGCCTGAACTTCGCGTAGACTTTCGACTGACTTAAACCCAAGCCCAAATCTAAACTTGAGCACCACTTAAAAGCTCATCGGGGTTAGCGGGCGTAGCCCGCTAACCCGTTTTGGTTTGAGTCGAACTCTGTTTCGGGCTAGCGTGAAGCAGATTGCCAAAATGCACAATAAGACGTGGTTTCCTACTATCCTACTCCTACTATATATAAAAAAATAGTGTTTGTGTGTGTGTGTGTGTGTATTTGCATGCACTTCCGTTAGGATGTTCCGCTCCTACAGCCTCGGGGAAGCGTTTTTTGGATAGGGAAGAAACGACAATAGGTTTAGAATGGTCCGGAATCGACTGCACACACATAAAAATTTTGAAAAATCGCTGTTTTCACTATTAAAAATGGGTTTTTGTAAAACCCTGTTTGTTAGGGGAAATTAGCATACGCCGGAAGTAGGAAGCGCCTATATAAAGGGACAGAGCAGCCGTTTTTCACTTTTTTTTTCTTGCTAGAATTCAGGAAGAAACATGCAAATTAAGGACTTTCACAGGTCCTGGACGGGGCCAGGGTTGAAAAGCCGCGAAGCGGTTTTTCAACCCTGGTATATAAAAAAATAGTGTTTGTGTGTGTGTGTGTGTATATTTGCATGCACTTCCGTTTGGATGTTCCGCACCTACAGCCTCAGGGAAGCATTTTTTCGGGAGGGAAGAAACGTTATAGGGTAAAGAAGGGGCTGGAATCGACTGCACACACATAAAATCTTTGAAAAATTGCTATTTTCGCTATTAAATTTAAGTTTTTGTAAAAATCTTGGCTTCCCTCTTTGTTAGGGAAAAATTAGCATACGCCGGAAGTGGAAATGGTTTATAAAAAGGAAGAGAGGGCGCGCTTTTCATTTTTTGGTGAGCGGTTTTCGGCAAGGATTATGCAAAGTCAATAACTTCATCGATCCTAGACGGGGCCAGGGTTGAAAAGCCGCGAAGCGGTTTTTCAACCCTGGTGGATCGATAAAACTGTTGTTTTCACACTCTTTAGACTCTTCATACGCAATCGTTCGCGCCATGCTCCAGCAAGAGAATGGCATTTTTTGGCAAAATTTATGCAAAATCGGCTCGTAAATTCAAGAATAACGCATATTTTTGATGCAAATTGCAAAAATCCCCATATTAAATTAAAAATGAAAAGTATTTTCGCTATAACTTTAAAATCCGTCGGCCGTAATGGCTCAAACTTTCCATATACATGGGAAATTGGCTTCGCTACCCCTGTGCAAATTTTCAGCTCCGTAGGTGCCCTCTGGCTCAAATTTTTGGGGGGGTCTTTTCTTTTGGGACACCCTGTATATAGTAGGATTTCATACATTAAGGTTATTAAAGGCTTACAAGTAAAAAATTAAAGTAAATGAAGCACTATTTCTAACTTCAACTTATTAAAAGCATAATTTATTACAATAAACTTATTAAAAGCAGTATTCCTCTCTTAAAATTTTTAAAAGTATTTTTTATCGCCTTGTAATCATTCAAAGCCATATGGATATTTAAATTTCCAGGGTTACAAATTCAAAAAAAAGTAAAACCTTTTATAGCTTTAAGGCTTTTTTTCTAGCATTTTCGCAATTAAAATACACCTTCAACTGTGGCAGTGGCTGTCGCGCTCCCTTTAAAGTACAAAATAGGCCTGTTTGCGGTGAGATCGTCAAAACTTAAACTTTAGAAACGCTTTATTCGCCGATTACCGAACCCCTGCCCCCAAAAAAGACGCGTGTGAGGGTGGAGGGTTGAGATGAGAGATGTCGTGTCTGCATCCGAATCGTGTTGCCCTCTCGATTCAGGCCAAATTGGGCCGTTTCCGCCACCTGCTTTGCGCAGTCGGTTGCGGGCCACGACTTCTCACTCCAGCCACCCGGCTTTTCCCTTCCCCACCCCCCAAATCTCGGGCCCATTGTGCGGTTTTCGGGTTGAAAACGTCGCAAAATGCTAGGGGCCACCCGGGAAATGATTGCAGCCAGCTTGCTGTTGTTTCCTGTTTTCCATTTGTCGCTCGGCGCCAGAGTCTCGATTTTTCATTTTTCAGACGATGAACATTGCTGGAGTCACCGTCTTTTTGCTATCATGGACGGTGAACGGCTTGGCGGCGATGTTGTGCTTCAACTGCGCGACGAACACAACCGGCCAGCTGATGTGAGCAACTGCTATAACACTCTTTTTTTAAGTTGTAAGGAGCACTGTGACGGCGAGAAATGCGTGGTGTGGAAATACCGGACGCGCGATGGCCTTCAAGTTCGGCAGGTAAAGCCGAGCAATTTTCTCTGAACCCCTGTTTTTAGGGCTGCTTGGTAAATTCGCCATTACTAATCGGATGCCGTCGGAACCAAGTGGGGGCCCAGCTCTGTATCTGTGAGTATTATCAGAAAGCAGAAAAGGATACAACATATTTTCGATTTTTTTCAGCACCAATTTAGTGACGGTGACCTGTGCAATCGAGTAGAACGAGCTGAAAACACGCTGCAACCGCTTCCGATCCGGTTTCTACCCTCGGTAAGGCAAAAAGCTTTACTAAATGAAAACTATAGTATTAAATCAAAACTAGTATTCGACTAGTACTAAAAACATGATAAAGCTAAAAGATGTTTCATCAATTGAATGAAACACATTTTCAGGTATCATGCGTAGGTCGTCTCAGCGAACTAGACACGCCTCACGCAGCCAGAATGCACTTTTGCCGTTCCAACTACTGCCATTACACAGCTTCCACGGTATCTTCAACTTCCCGAAAAAACCCGTTTCATTTCCGACCGATTTTGGCTCGGGCACCGCCGACACTAGTCAGCAGAGGTTGCGCCGAGCGCCCAGAGTACGATTTTGACCTGAGAACGAATGGGTAGGAAAGGCTTCCTCTTTGTGAAGAGCTTTTTCTTCTAGCCCTCTAGACTTCCCGGGACTCTATCCAAATGCGGTCTACAGAATAACCACCGTGCCGAACACGCATGTGCTGGCGCTGATCAGCTCAACGGTACCTCAAATTATTTTTCCCTCATCATTTGTTATCCTATCTGGGTTTTAAAATCCATGATTATTAATTGTATTTTATTATTTATTTTTAAGAACAACTGCACAAGCCGGCGGCTTCCCGAGCTGCGCGATGGGCCGACACATTAGGACAGCTGCCAAAAAATTAAAATTTTACCCTCTATTTCAGATGCTACGTTTTGCGGCCAGGGAGACGACCTCGATAGATGAATCGAAAGTGGGCCCACAACACTTTTGCTACGGTCACTTCTGCTTTATCCAGGCGAGTAGTAGTCACGTTTTTTTTTCTTTCAACGCAGCCGAATTGAAATTTTCATTCAGAGAGTCGGCAGTAAAGTCTCCAAGGGCTGTCTATCGCTAAACGAAGAAAGTGCCCGCGACGCGACAGTGGTAAGTGAATAGAAAGTGAATAGTAACCAAATAGAAAGGAAACTGATTTCAAAACTGAATTGGATGAAGGCTTTGAAAGTGGGCTTTGAAAGTTCAATTTCAAAGCCTTGGTCCAATTCAGTTTTGAATTCAGTTTCCTTTCTATTTGGTCACATTCGAAAGAGCGCATTTTGTTCTACAAATCTGGAAATCGACTTTTTCAAATTACAATCTAGGTAAAAAGTTGTAAGCGTTCAAAGACTCCCCTCTTAGCATTTTTAGCCCCCCCCCATTACATGTAGTAATTGCGGGTCCTGAGATGCCGTGCATTGCGCTAATAGCGCGCCCGAATGTCAAAAGCGCCAACTGGCGCGCTCTTTTGTTCAATTGCCCATACGGGTTCCGGTATATTAATACTTTTTATTGAAAAAGGCTATACATTGCTTTTTGCGATGTAGCACACTAGTTCGGAGCTAGAAAGGCATCTGCTCTCCGGAGTATTTTCGTTCCGCGCACCTGAAACCACTTTTTGACTTGTAGATGGTTAGAAACCTACATTTTTGTTGTTG